ATTTTTTACCCCCTGAACTATTTAATAGTGTATTTTAAAGGTATATATGTGCCCACGTGGACACATTACTATTTATAATTTTGCATTATTTTTTATGTCCACGTGGGCAAATATATATGTTTAAAATACGGTATTAAATAGTCTAGGGAGGTAATAGGTCCTCATGAAAGTTTAGTATCGCAACAGCAAATCCGACCAAAGTTAAGGTATTTTTCAGACCCTTATTCCCTATAAAAACTTTGACTAATCTTTTGCGATGTATTATTTCATCATATTGATATGCAAAAAATTGCAAGTGATAGTACTTTCCTATAGTTTTTGAATATCTAAATTTTTTGCTTAAAATATCGAATTAATATAATCTAATTTAACTTTGAAATTTAGTCAAATTAACTTTCAAAAAGTGCAACATGACAAATAAAGTGGACAGTTGCCCATAAGCATTTAAAACCTAGTGATTTTCATCATAGTAAATGTTAATTAAGGACATTTTTATCCTTTTTGTTTGTGTTTATATATATAATAATAAATCAATGGCAAGAAAATATGATCGATTATTTTACATGAAATAACAACAAACACTCAGAAGGAGAACCCACATGTGCAATTCTCATGAATATGTGTGACAGAATAAATATATGTCATTGTTGAATCAACGTACTATGTTTTTTTGTCCAAACTTTTATGTGTGGAAACATCACATCCACGTCTTCTTAATTTTAATTAATTCAACCACATCAATTGTTTTGTTCTGCAGTTTTATTGTTACAGAATATATAGACGTAATGTATTAGTATTAATTAATTGAGCGTTATTAGCCAGTCTAGTAAAGTTGTGTAATTCAAAACATTTACAAGACCATATTGTAGCTAGCTTGTCAGCATATTTATGAAAACCATGACTTCACCTAATATTTGAAAAAACCTATTATGTGTCCTCCTCGTCTTAAATATTTATAATGATTACTATACTTAATTTTATTGTCAAGAAAATTCATTATTGAGTTTAACTCAACTAAAAAAATTAGTCCATATATTAAGATTGGTTCAAAATCGTAAAAGAATATGACTCATTCGATCATCTCCATTATAACATTATAATTTCTAACACTTACCAATCGGACATATATATCTTTATTTTAAAAAACTTAAAATATTCAGAAGGAAATGAAGGCATCTTTTTGGTTTCTATATCTCAACAACATTTAATAATAATTAGGATAAAAATAATCAAATTCATCTTAATCTGTTAATATAACAAATAAATTAAGATTTTTTTAAAAATAATTTTGACAACTAATATGAAACCGAACGAGAATTAAATATGGTTAGGCTTGGTACTGTTGTAACAATTTCAGCCCTAATTATGCATGCTATTGTCCACAATTGCATTCAATACATTTACGTTTACAAATTTATATGTAAGCTGATTCGTTTAAAGCTTTTTGGGAAAGCATATCTGTAAAATTGATCGTCACATTTAACCAAAAAATAACCACATCGGATATATTTAAAGCGTCGAGACTACATAAATATATTTGTAGACAAAATATCATCGTGATTCATGACCACAATTTGACTAAAATAATCGTAATTCATACTATTGACGTTATATGTATTTGTTGTTGTTATAAGTTCTTTTATTTTTATTTTTTGACATAATATACATGTCATTTAACTTGACTTCATTTCACATTTATGTCTTCCAACTTTGAATATGCACAAGTAAATACTTAAACTTATATAAAATTGAACATATAGACACACACGACCTACGTGACATCCTAAAGTTTTGCTTTCGGATCGTGATTTTTAGAATTGATTATTACTTGTGCATGCTGCCTATTTTTTGTCGATTTGGCAACATTTATCGTTAATCATTAGTATGTATAGCAAGGTTTATTAATATTACATGAAAATTTACCTTTCTATCATAAGTCTCCTTAAGACTATTTAAAGAAGCATGTTGGGTAACTTTTTCCTATTAGGTAATTAAGAATTGATACATTGATAATTGATCATCAATATGGCCATGTGAAGTCTAGCTTCGAACTCGTGAGTTTATTTATGTTGCTGAATTTTGTCTTTCAAAGTAATTTCAATTTGTAGTCAGTTTAATAACACATAGTAGTACAATATTTACATTTTGACCGAATTTGTAGTCAATCGAACAAAATAGGTTGGATGAAGTTAGTATCAAATTTCCTTTTTCATCATAATCAAATTCTAACAAATATAATAAATAAATAATTTTTGTTTATAGAGTAGAACTTGTGACCGTTTGAATATAATAAATAGAATGAAGGTAGTATTGAATCTTGCTTATATGTCATAACTTATGAATAGTTGAGCTAACCAGGGGAGGATTCACCTATACCTATGGTTTGTCACGTGACACAGCTTCATCGATTTTTTTTACGGAATATACCTATATAAGAAAAATAAAAAATAAAAAATAAGCTTTAAAAGCATTGAAAGGACATTGCTTATATCAAAACGTCCCAGCTTAAATAGTAAAGGCGCCGCAGGTGTGGCACGAGGTCTCAAATTCGATCCCCTATATGGGGGTGTTTCGTTTTTCTCCGTTTTTATTCATGTTTTTTTTTCGCGTTTTTTTTTTCTTTTCTTAAATTTATTAATTTTTTGCTTTAAATTGAAAACAATAGGTCCCCTTCATTAAAAACCTACCGATCCACTCTAATTCATTCAATTTATTTTTTTTAAGAATTAAAATAAAACTCAAAATCTTTGAGTCCTTTATCAATTATAATTATAGTTAAATAAAAATAGTGTTGACTCCTTAAATCCTTGTATTTGTATATTTCTGACTTGTGAGTTTGTTCAATTTTTTCTCTTCTTGTTCATCAATCATTGTTAGTAATTTTTTGCTATTCTATTTTTTTTTATTATGTGCTTGAATCTTTATTTTTATTTGTTCATAATAATAATTTTATTTTTTATTATTTGTTTGTTACAATGAAAAATTTTAGAATTCAATGATTAAAATTGTCTGCAATTTACTAATGTGCATATTACATCATACAAGTCTAAATTAGTCTAAATTTAATAGAGAGGTATTATTCTAAAAAAAATTACAATCGTTCAAAGCCAATTTTAACGACTCAAGCTTCAACTAACTTGGAAGAACAAGCTAATGAGTCAAAAATAAAATATCTACGAAGTGAAGGAATTGATTTAATTAAGTTCATTGCCGATTGATGGAAAAATTATCTATTCGAAAATATCACCCAAATGATCAAAAAAGGAGATCATATATCTTCAACAAGGTCCATTCCAACAAGATCATATGTTCTTTTTTTCATATTTTTTTAAAGATTATAATCATTTATTTGCAATACAATTTCATGTTGAATAATGTTGTATAAAACTTTATTTAATAATATGAAGATGTGAATGATTTAATTTAAAATTTAAATATATTATCTAATTAAAAGAGTAGAAAATTTTATTTTATTTTTAAAAAAATAATCAAAATTTTATATTTTTAAGAAAAATATATTTTCATAAAATTCACTATTAATTGGATCTCAAACTTTTGGTGGCCTAAAACAAAACCTTCATTGATTTTCTTCTTGAGCCATTCTTGTTCCTTTAATAGTGACACTGCTTAGAAAAAATCCTGCGTAAGTCACTAGAGCTAACATATATAATTTTTGTCTATATAACTTTGCCTAGCTATATGACCTAACATGTGAGTGCTGGGCAAGTTGGAAAATATAAATATAAAGTTAGTCATATATAAAACAACAAAATTACCATTATGGAGTTCAAATCCTCAACACAACTACTATTCAAGGTGTTCATATCAGTTTAGATAGCAAGGAACTAGAAGAATAAGAAACTAGAATTCTCTGTCATATGCATTCTAATTATGAATGCATTTTTGTAAACATAAAAAGAAAGTTAAATGCAATTTTGGTACGTGGAGAAGGATAGGGATGGGCGTTTGGTATTCGATTTGGAATTTTTAAATTTTGGGTTCGATAATTGATAGTTAAAAGTAGATATCAAATATTAAAACTTTAAATTTCGATTAGATAATTCGGTAATCGATAAATTAAACTTCAGTTCGGTACGGTATTTGGTAATACCGTATTGAAGTTATAGCTGATTGTATTACAAACTCCAATCATATCTATTTTTTTATGTGAAAACACGATATAATAGAAGATCAACAAGTATGAAGACATCAAGAAAATCAAATTAATATAACTAAAAGACATGTGTGTTTGGGTTGCTTATGTTTTTTCTTTAACTTTCTCTTTGGACGTGTACTAATAAGCAATTGTATGTTAATATATGATCTTCATTAAATAATAATTCGATATTAAGGAAATACCAAATGGTACTAACATCTCATACCGAACCCAAATACCTAATTCTAAACTTTAACTCCCGAATACCAAATCACCAAAAAATTCGATCGATTCGATAATTCGATTTTCGATGCTTTATGCCTAGCCCGAAGGACAATAATTTTGGGATTGAAATTAACTTAATTTATATTTTGAGTCATTAATTAATTTTAAAATTATTTTATCTCACAATTTATACTTACGAAAACATTACACATAATTAAATTTTAAATAATCTAGTTGTACAAATTTTTCTAGTTAAATCTACTCCCTCTGTCCCTAATTACTTGTCCACTTTTTTTTTAGTTGTCCCTAATTACTTGTCCACTTTTTTTTTTAGTTGTCCCTAATTACTTGTCCATTTTGATAAGTCAAGAAAGGACAATTTTTTTTTACCTATTATATCCTCAATTAAAACGACTAACTTTGAAAAATGTAGAGTTTTTCATTTACTTCATAATTAATAGGGGTAAAATGGTAAACTCACTATGTCATTAATTGTTTTCTTAATATGTGTGTCAATTCAAAGTGAACAAATAATTAGGGACGGAGGGAATATTTATTTTCTCTATTAACCAATATTTTGACACGCCTGGTTCCGTATTGGACCCAAAAACCAAACCAATTTTGGTTTCAACTTTCACAAGTGGTGAATGCAGAAGCGGACAGCGTTTAAACTTGTTCACTAAAATATATAGGAGTTGCCAACTTTGGTTTAAACTTCTTCGCTACTACTAAAATACTACAGGTCTCTGCATTTAGCTCCTCTCTGCTAACCGAATCCTTCTCTATTCAGCTTACCGCAATGGGTACGTTCTCTGTGAATCCTTCGATCTTCCTTCGTTAATCGACCTAGGGTTTTTTTATTTTACATGTTCAATTTCGATTCGAACTTGCTTATTTTCTGTGAAATTTGAATGTTCCAAGTCGATAAGTAAACTTAATAAGTTGCCTTAGTTTAAGGAGTTCGGAAATGCGCTCTATCTTCATAATTGGCAAAAAATTTATAGCTACGTATTTGTGTATTTTAATTACAGTAGAGATTATATCAAGAGCAATTTGGATTTATCTATGGATGATTATTACTCATGGGATTATTGCGAAGGATTCTGTTGGATTAATAGATTGGTGAATTTTTTGGTTGTTTACGTGATAGATAATGTTGAAGAAGACATCAAGGAGTTGTAGCTTGATTCATCTAGTATAAGTTTACACACTTTGTTATATAGTGAGTAAAACTGAAGTTAATATAGCTAATAAGTTACTTAGGATTGTGTTACGAGTTTCTACTTTAAGGAGACATGGTGAATGTGTTTGTCTGTGCTTGTACTTGAATGTCAGCAGAAGATAGTGTGGTGACTAATGCTGAAGATGGCAAACCTGATGAAGCTGTATAACCTGATAAAATTGATGGAGGTAGGCAACAATTTCAATGATGTGCTTTGTGAATGCTTCTTATGCTTTCAAGTGATGCTCTATAACAATATTGCTTCTTTTGATGTTCTGTTTTTCTTATTTTTTTTTTTGGCCCATGTATCTATTGTGTGTGTATTAGATTTAAGGGCATTTCAATTTTCTTGAGTAGGAGTTGATTTTTGGTCTATCGCTAGTGTAACAATCATTGCAGGGTAATAAGGCTATACTTCTATATCTTTAGACATCCCTTGCTTCTCTACGTATTTGAATTCTTATTTGAAACTTTCTGGGCGTTGTTTAATCATATATCCTTGCACCATGGTTCTCGGTGCCTACTGAACACCTTTGGATAGATCTTCTTTTCAGAATTGAAAATAGCCCACGAACTCTTTCATGATGGGTTTTTGAAAGTTCTTGCTTTGTAGTTTACGAAATAAAAACTACATTCACAACTTTGAAGCTAGACTATTTTCATGGATTGGCTGTCTGTTGACATTTATTATTTTTGAATGTACTACTCCCTCTGTCCCAATTTATGTGACTTACTTTCCTTTTCAGTTAATCTCAAAAAGAAAAAGAATGACACGTTTCTATATTAAGTAACAATTTAACTATAAAATGTCTATTTTACCTTTAATGAAATGATTTACAACCACACAAATTTCTATCATTCATTTGGACCTCAAGTTTTAAAAGTCTTCCTTTCATTCTTTAACTCCGTGCCGAGTCAAACTACCTCACATAAATGGGATGGAGGGAGTATATCTTTTGCTAGTGGTGGAAGATAAAATGGAGGGGTTGTGGTAAATGGGTTGGGGTGGTGAGGTGACATGCCATGTGGCATCCACCTCATCAAAATATCAGTGACATAAGATTGGGCGTCCACCTTGGCAGCCCTAACAGAGGAGGGGTATATTTGAGCCATTTGGCTAATGTCGGGGGTATTTTTGCACCAAGAGTATAGCAGAGGGTAAAATTGATCATGTTCGCATAGTAGAGGGGTAATCGATTTAAAAAACCGTTTTCGCTTGTACTATTTAGTTAAACAAAGTAATGGCTCTGAACAAGAACTGTCACACATGAGTGCAGCAAGTAGCAAAGTAACTAGCTTTTACTATATCAATTTCTCTCTAAGAATTAGAGTTGAAAGAAATAAGGTGAAAATTATGTGCAGTAGACATCATTATATTCAATAAATGCAACTATGGCCAGTGCATATATTTATTCCATACATGCAACTATGCTTCTTTTGTTTTCAGTTGCAAATGTAGGTTCCATGTGTGCAACTATGACCATTGCATATATCGATTCCACATATGCAATCTGTGGCCATTGTGTATATCAAGTCCATAAATGCATCTATGGTTCCTTTTTAACTCTTTAACTTTTTCCATAATCCCACGTGTATTTCCTTCGTTGTGAATATGAAGACCATGTATGCAACGGTTGCCTTGTCTTTTTTAGTTTCTTTTCTTTCTTTTCAGTGTATTCTTCTTCCAGCCAGATTTGTTACAATATATGCGAGAATAGGATATCATCATTCATGTTCTATTTTAAAATAATATAAACTTACATGAATAATTAATTTCTGTCACTAATGTTCACCTTTCCCTTCAATTATTTTGAATGTACCCGCTGTTTGACTATTCAAGAAGTTATACAACCCAAACATTTATACTTTCCAGTTTTTGCATTTATAACTCAATTTTTTTGTGTATTGCTGAGATTTAAGATGTTTTCATCTGTTTCTGAAAACATTATTTTATAATTTAAAGCAAAATCTACTATGAAGTTTGTACCAAATGTTTATTTAATTAATGATTTCAGGCCTGAAAAAGGAAGCAAATGCAAACGTGAATCCAACACATGTTGCAGTTGATAGAAAGAGACATCTGAATGTTGTATTCATTGGTCATGTTGGTAAATTTTCATTATTCTGTATTGTATGATAGTCCCTACTTCTTATAATCATAATCTTTTTCTAGAAGCACCAAATCCAGCTCTTTAAAATATCAAGGAAGAGAAAAAATGTATAACGAAGGATGATTCTAGACTTTTCTGTACCCTTTACACTGAGACTTGAACCCAACAATATTAATGAATAATGAAATTTAAAAGACACAGTAGGCGTATGTTGTAGCTGATTTTTTCATTCTAATGTATTGGTGTATCTATTTCATAAGAAACTATGTTTGCTGTGTCTGTCCAGAAACTGAAGAAAACAACTGGGACAGATATATTTGACTCAGCCCTCCAAATGCGTTGAGGTGTTGTGTTTGAGTGCATTTGTGATGTAGTTAGTTCTTATGGAATTAGGGAGCTTCAAAGTTGGTAGCTTTCTGCATTGTTTTTGTTCCTCTTTCCATCCTTGCATTTTTTTGGGATAATCATTCATTCTTGCATTGATAGCAGTAACTCGAGAAGTCCCACGGGTGAAATAGAAGTGAGGAACTGTGATGTCTGGATTTTGGATATAGCAAGTTTTAGTTTGTCCAATTTGTGCAGTTAGTCCGAGTCAGCTGGGGACTTGCAGTTTGTATGATAAGCAACTTCATAGATTCTAATGTAAAATTTGGTGAAAATTTACCAAAGCTCAAAGCTCATGTCTCACATAACCAATTTTGACAATTATACGACTCTTAGGCTTATTATATATCATTTCAACTGCAGATGCTGGAAAGTCCACAGCTGGAGGACAAATACTATTTCTTAGTGGTCAAGTTGATGATCGGACTATCCAGAAGTATGAGAAGGAAGCAAAGGATAAGAGTAGAGAGAGTTGGTGAGCTTTTAGTGTTCAACTTGTATTTTTGGCACTTTTTAATGGCTGAACATTTGTCAGGCCAGTGTGTTTAATTTATGATGCTTGATTATTCTTGATAAAAAAATAATCTAGGATGTTCATTTCTCTTGTCAATATTGACTTGGACTATACCAAGGATTTTTTGATGTAAAATTATTGGTTCTGTGGGATCTCACATGTAGAATTTTTGTTATGGACTTCATTTTGTCTTGTATATCTGTTGTTTTACAGTTTTGTAGCTTCTCCTGCCTTTCAAATTACCTAAACGAAAAGGGATAAAGAAAAAAGAAGAGAGCTTGTCTTATGTTTTTGTTTTTGTCTGTTAGGTATATGGCCTATATCATGGATACAAATGAAGAGGAGAGAGCGAAGGTATTCTTATGATTATTTATTTATTTTCCTGTAAGGTTAGACTGCGTTTGTTTATTTCTTGCTTGCAATTTCCTGTGCAGGGAAAAACAGTTGAGGTAGGAAGAGCACATTTTGAAACAGAGACAACAAGATTTACAATCTTGGATGCCCCGGTAACTTCCCTTACAAATTGCTTCTCTGCTTTACCTTGTATATAGGAGTACAAGTTATGAATCTAGGTAAATGGGTTTACTTTTCATGAGGATTGATGTTTGCCCCATGCTTTTAAACATAAGAATTTCTACAAGAAGTCTCTTGCTGTGCAAATTTTGTTCTCCTTGAAACAGAGACAACAATATTACAATCTTAGATTCCCGGTAACTTCCCTTGCAAATTGCTTCTCTGGTTTACCTTTTATATTTTATATACAAGAACAAGTTACGAATCTAGGTGAACCAGTTAATTGTGGATGAGGAATGCTGCTTGCCCCATGTTTTTTTTTAACATAAGGATATCTAAAGAGCTCTTGGCATGAGTTTGACCATGCCAAAATCCATCATTGAGCTCGTGCACAGGGGCTTAGTAAGAAATCTTTAAAACATGGAATATCATACGTCAAGCCTTTTTGTGGACCGTCTGAAACAACACAATTTTTTAAGGAAAAAAGAGAAGCATAGACAGCTTTAAACAGAGATGTACTTTTTTGTTAGATTTTTGGTGGAATATGGTTATTGAACATGATCTTGAGGGAATGCTAGGCACAATAGGGAAATTACACAACATGTAATTATTCCTGATTCACTGGGTTAGTGCATAGCTTCATTAAATTTCTAGGTACTTATGAAAGAGCCTTTTCTGTGAAAATTTCTTTCTCCTTCTTGCACAGATTAATTCTCTGCATGCTTGGTTCTTTCATCTGGCCTTCCGGAAAGAAAGAGAAATTGCAGTAAGGAGCTAGGACATACATTTATGAACAGTGTTTAATACTGATAAATCAAATTTAACGTGATCATTTATGCATGCCTTTCTGATCTTTCAAATGAAACGAAGCTTGATGCCTGTCTCCTTTCATATCTCATGACCTCGCTTCAATTCCTCGTCACAAGGCGGTTAAATCTTCTTCCATTTAGGTTTACTAGTTTTATGATTTTGAGCCTTTGATGTCAATAAGTTTGCTGCTTGGTTTGAAGGAGAGAAGTTTAGCACATTATTTTTACATGAATGAGGCAGTTCCTTTAAAGAGAGACATCGTTTCAGTTTACTGCTCCTGATTTGAGGACTCAAGTATGATAATTTATGTAACATGTCATTTTTGTAAAGTTCAGTATCCACTTCAATTATGTGCGAGACAATTGTGTAACATGTCATCTGTCAGTTTACATTACGGTTTTTGATTATTTTCACTTATTACCAGGGTCACAAGAGTTACATCCCGAATATGATTAGTGGAGCATCTCAAGCCGATATAGGTGTATTGGTACGAATGGTTACCTTTTGCCATTGGACTCCATGGGAGTTTATGAATTCTATCTCTGGATTTCGGAAGTGTACACTGATCTTTGATTTGGTTATTCTGAAGGTTATATCCGCTAGAAAGGGTGAATTCGAAACTGGATATGAAAGAGGTGGACAAACACGTGAACATGTTCAACTTGCAAAGACTCTAGGAGTTTCTAAGCTCCTTGTTGTTGTAAATAAGATGGATGATCCTACTGTCGTCTGGTCTAAAGAAAGGTCTTCTTGCATCTATGTTTCCGTCAGGCATTTGAAATATTAATTGTTCTAGGTATTAATTTCTAACAATTGTCTTTTGAAGGTATGACGATATCCAGTCCAAAATGATGCCATTCTTAAAATCATCTCAATACAATGTAAAGAAAGGTAAAGAGGATTATCTACTCATAAATTACATCATTGTTGGCTGAAGTTCTTGTATTTTAATGATCTATGCAACCTATAATCCAAAATGAAACATCTTATAAAATCTATTTGCTATAGTAGCTAGTAAAATGACCTGGCCTTTTACGATTTTGTACCCTCTCATTAGAGTTTAAAGGTGAAAAGCTGATCTATATCAGAATTTATCTTGCTTCTAGTGTATAACCAAGTCAGAACACTAAAACTTGTTTCCCAATCCATTTCTCCCATAAATAATGGGAAATTTTCATTTTCATGTCGAACATCAAATAATTTGTTGTCAATCTGGCCATTGAAGTAAACATAAAATGACTTTTCAAAAGTCTTCGACATACCTAAGAAAAGAGTGTTTCTCATGCTGCCACTTGTGTTATGAGCATTTCAGAAACAATACCTCCTGTTTGTATGATACCTTATAGAAAACCACCTTTTGGTATAATCAAAGGAGAATGCTGATTGTGGAATCTTATTTCCCATCATTAAATTGTATTTCAATCTGTTTCTTTACTTTGTTTAAAAGTCCATGTGTTTGCAGATGTTTAATTTCTGCACTTGGTTCTGAATTTTTTTGTACCTGATTGCAGATGTTCAGTTCCTGCCAATCTCTGGTCTCCTTGGTTCAAATATGAAAACTCGGGTGGAGGAAAGAGTATGCGCATGGTGGGATGGTCCATGCCTTATTGAAGCTCTTGATGCGGTAGAAGTTCCTCCCCGAGATCCTGAAGGTCCACTAAGGTACTTCAGTTTTGCTAATCTGCTGGCACCTTCATGTCTCTGTTTTCTCCCTCTGTACTTCCAACTTTCAGCACTCTAGTTATTGATGACATTGGTTAAGATATTGTAACATTCGTCCTAAATAAGACATATTATTATATGTGTGTATTTATGTATGAATATGGTCATTCTTGTGAGAGGGCTCATCTACTTTTTGTGCCTCATCTTCCATATTTTCTTCACTGGATAGCGAACAGAACCTTCTGATTTTTGTCCTCCTTATTCCCCTTGTTAGCAATTGTTCAAGTGTTAAATCTCCCTTTCTTGCAGAATGCCTATTATCGATAAATTTAAAGACCTGGGAAATGTTGTTATGGGTAAAACAGAATCTGGGAGCATTTGTGAGGGTGATAGTTTGTTGATGATGCCAAATAAGGTCATTTTCTTTTGGACCTTTTCCACTTAAACTGTATTCAGATATGTGATATTGTATACTTGAGGAATTTCACACACAAGTTGATTTACAGGCTGTTGTGAAAGTACCTGCTCTATTTTGTGATGAAGATAGAGTTAGGTACGCAGATCCGGGGGAAAATGTACGAGTTAGGTTATCTGGAATCGAGGAAGAGGACATTTTGTCGGGTTTTGTCTTGTGCAGTGTTGGTATGTGTTCTCCATATTATCCATAGCATGGAATTCATTCTCTTTGTTCTGTGTAATATATGTTTGAGATTCAGTTTTATATTGCTAACCAGTTACCTATTTAAGGGAATACTATCCTCTCACAAACATGGAATGCCTCATATACTATAACAGAATCCTTGGAAGGAGAAAAGTGTAGCATTTGGGGTGTGTTGCTATGGATGAAAACATATGTTTTTCAAATTTTTCATGTTTGGTTAGTCAAAATGTTTTGGAAATATTTTCTGTAGAAAAACAAGTTACTTAGGAAAACTGATTTCTCCAATGGAAGTACGGAAAACAAGTTCCATTAGTGGCATACCATGTTGATTGTCTCCTCCGCACCCCCAACACCCTATCACTACACTACCACAGACCTCCCTCCCCTAACCCTCTACCACCAACCCCCGTCCCCTCTGACCCTCACTCCACCGCATCCGCCATAGTGTTTGCCTAAATTATAAATAAAATGCTTGGATATTTTCTGCTCACTTGCGAAACACCAAAAATAAGAAAGAAAACACTTATTTCTAGCAAAATATTTTCTCTTCATAGCAGACACCCTTAACCTTTCTGTCAGCCTAGTGTTTGTGCAAGAACATCCTGTGGAACAGTGTGGCTGGCTTACTGAATTATATCTCCTAGAGAATTTAAGAAGATCGTTCATTCAAACAGAACTTGACAAAGAGTACACGATAAAGTTATATGTGGAACCTATGTTGTGTATATGTTGCAGTTTGTCTGACAGTTTCTGTTTAGATGACATGAAGGGTACAAATAAGACCAAAGAAAGAGATTCTCTTTAGTGTCAGCGTATTTGTTTTTAAATGATGGGATGGTCTTTTAATTTTCATTAGTCTTTAACTTGGTGAAAAATCTTAGTTTTCTTCTTAAGTTGATCCGTAGACAATGATGTCCCCCAGAGCGAGTCCTAGATCTTGGTCTTTTACAGTAGATGTTACAAATGAGCTGATTCTACCAATATAAGATCAGGACAAAAGCAATACTCTAGTGAACGAGGCAAATGAACAAAAAACTAATGTAGTGAGCTAATGGAAAAATACATCTGCTGTTAGCAAGGTTTTGATTAATCACATATACGAGACTCATATTTTGCTTTTGATTTATTCTGGTCCAACATGTGAGGAACTGAAGTTGGCAAGTCATAGATAAAATGATCTAATGAGACATTCCTTTCTTATTACATAATAATTTCTTTCATTTGCCTTAAATAATTTTTTGTTGAGTTAATAGAAGTCATGCAGTTTCAGTACTTGATTTGAGGAAAATTACTGATGGTTTTTTGAGGTACCACACTTATTAGTAAATCACTAACCCGGTTTGAGAATCAATTATAATAAGATTGGAGATATAATACTGGTTTAGTGAAATTAATCCAGATATTTGTGTACTGTAAAGAGGATAATCTTAGGTACTGTACACATACATGAATCTCTAATTTCGTAATAGATTGGTTTTCAAGCTTAGATTGATATCTAATAAGTTTTGCACTTTCAGCAAAGCCCATACCTGCAGTTACTGAGTTTGTTGCACAGTTACAGATCTTGGAGCTGTTGGACAATGTACGGGTCAAACGTAAACCTAGCCTTTCATTCACTCTAATTAGCTTCAGATTTGCGTAAGTGCATTCATACATCTGTGATTAAATAAACATTGTGTGCTCTCTCAGGCTATTTTTACTGCTGGCTACAAGGCTGTGTTGCATATTCATGCTATTGTTGAGGAATGCGAGATTGTTGAACTGATGCAGCAGATTGATCTCAAGAAAAAGAAGCCCATGAAGAAAACACCTTTGTTTGTGAAGAACGGAGCAATCGTTCTATGTCGTGTTCAGGTTAGTTGTCTACTTGAGTAGGATGGACATTTGGGATATTTATCTACAAGGGAGAGCAAAGTAGTTGATGTATACACAATAATGAAACCTGTCACTTTAGTATCTCTACTATTGTAATTTATGTTTATTTTCACTAGCTTTAAATATTTATGCTTTCCAAAATATGTGCCTAGCCTCAACTGTAAAGATAAAATCGGCGATGCTTTACATATGGGATAATACTAACCCCTTTTCCTCTTTCATTTCTGCCTTCTACCTTCTGTTGTATAGTGTGCTAGGTCTTGATCTTCCGAAATAATCATGCCAGGTGAATAATCTGATTTGTATCGAGAAGTTCTCTGATTTTCCACAACTTGGGCGGTTCACTCTTCGCAGTGAAGGTAAAGAACCATTTTTCCTTGTAAGCTTGTCATGCTTTAGTTTAATACACTACCTTGCAACATGGGATCACAATGACTGCCACTATCTGCAGGGAAAACTGTTGCTGTGGGGAAAGTTACCACCCTTCCTACTGTTGCTAATAATGCGTGAACAACTTGATAACTGAAAAGGTGAATTTCCTGTTCTCTTTTCAGTGCTAATTTCTGTTGTTTCCTTGTTGAAGTGAGTTTATCTGTCACTTGCCAACTTTTGTCTTTAGGAAACAACCTCTCTACCTCCACGAGGCAGGGGTAAGGTCTTACCTTAAGGCCCCTGTACACTCTACCCTCCCTAAACTCCACTTGTGGGTATGTTGTTGAACTTTGGATTTAAGTGATCAAACATTGTTTTTGTTGAAGTCTCTTCTTTTCAATAATACTTGCTTTTGAGATGTACTTTGAGACTTGATCATTTTGCATGACATTTATTATTTTTGAACAATGTTTTCAGAGGAAAGGTCAGTTGAACTTAGATGGCAGCAGACACAATTTTTGGTCCTTTGCAGCATTAACCTGGAGCTAAGTTGATGTGATCTGCTATATGCGTAAACGTTCACCAGTTTAGTGTCTGCGTAGTGTGCTATTGGTTCTGGTATCTGTTGTCGTTTTATAGTACCATCCGATGATGGTGCTTGTTTTTTATTGCGCAGTGCTGTATGAATCTATCTTGATTTTGGTAGATGATCCATTTTACATGCTGGTCGATCTTATATATGCACAAAAATACCGATAATTGGGCCTTTGCTTATAGCTGAATGCATAGCAATTAATCCTTTTGAAATACGATTGCATTGATCTCCATATATGGCATAGAAAACATAATTTTATTTGTATTTGCATAATATTCATACCAGATGAGTTTATATATAGAGTAACATCTCAGTAATGATTAATATAGCGGTCACATTTTTTTTGGGATAGGGGGTAGTAATAGTTGCTGTAGTTGTGGTTAATTCTTTGAGGTACCAATAATTAGGGAGGGACCTAGAGGTAGTCTAGGGGGTCACCCGAAAAAATTACATTGTATGTATAAGGTATTGTCAAAAAAAAATATGTTTATATAATGATTTTGAACCTCTCAAATGTAAGATAAGAGGTTGGTTTAGTGGTAGACGTTCAAAACTCACCTTGAAGTTTCAAGTTCAAATTTTAGGCACTACTTTTATTTCTTCGAACCTCCTTAATGGAAAGTATCAAATCCCATCTACCCTGGTGCAGAATAGGCTTCCTGATGATCTACTTTCACTTCACCGAATCCGTATTTTTTGTAGGTTTGAAAAACATGTGTTCTTTGATTTGTGGTACAAGGAACTTAAAAGGTACTAGTAGGATTATAGAAATTTTAGTCTAAAGTCCATAAATTATACTATTAATTATTGTTATTCCAAATTCATAGTCGTACTAGATATCAAAATCTCTGACTCATGATTATCTTAATATATATATATTTGCTTCAAAGACCCATTGGGTCAAACTATTATAACAAAATTTGATAGTGTAGAACTGTAGATTATCTTAATATAAAAAAGACCCCTTTCTCTTTTTTCTTTTTTTTTCTATTTGAAATACTCCCAGGCTAATATTATTATATTATTCTTTAACTTTATTAAATTTAATGTTTTGAGAAATGTATTAGATGATAAATAATATTTAATAATAAGGGTAAAATAGACATAAAAGGTAAATTTTGATTTTTTTTAAATTAGATAAATATTGTTGGACAATTATTCTAGTATATTGAACAACTATTGTTGGGTTGGGAGAAGGAGTAAAAGGGAAAAATAGAACTTGAATATTGATTGTGAAAATTCACATGCATGTTCCAAACAAACATATGAATCATGTCTGATGTTTACAGGAGCATTTGTCTTCTTATTTAGCCGCCTGCATTTGCCTAGAATGATATTTCTTCCATATTTAATTTTTCAAATTAAGACATTTAAAATACAAATATTCCCTGAAACCATATACTCTTAACAACAAACTCCAAAAAAATTAAAAATTGATAGTGACTTTTATTTCGTTTTTATTATTTAATTCCCCTTCGTTTTAATTGAGTTTACGTGGAGAACAGATTATCAGCCGCCATACTTTTTTGACCGCAAGCTTCCACGTTAACCTCGCTTATTTGCTGCGTGTTTGAGACTTTGGGAGAGTCACTAGTAAAAAGAGAGGTCTACTGTATTTGTGTCGCGTAAGATTTATTTAAGAGATATATTTTTTTAGTGGAAAAGGTTAAATTTGCGAGCTATCTATGAAGAAAATTGATTTGGTTTATAAGCTGATTAAATTGAGTCATCAATGTTTTTCATTTGTTTATGTATTTGATAACATCAAAAATAGTTATAAGCTAAAATAGGTCAAAATTAAAACCATATATATATATATATAAGGTCACAACTATCTTTAGGGGTCGTTTGGTGTGAATGATAATACCAAATAATCTTGGGATTAAATTATAGCACCACATAATTTATTGTTTGGTTGACAAGTTCGGAATAACTTATTTCGGGATTAATAATTAGTATCGGGATAAGTTATCCCTCCCTTTGAATAAAATAAGTAAATGACAAAAATTTCTCGTAATACATCACCTTTTACATTCATGAAGGACATTTTTGTAAACAAACATATTGTTTCTTAAAATTTATTATTTTGAATACAATAAACCAACACTCAATAAAAAATAATCTTATCATAACTTATCCCATCATAACTAATCTCATTATAATTTATCCCATCAAAACTAATCCCGTCATGACTTGAATTCAAACCAAATGACTCCTTGGGTTTCATACTTGTATTGGTTACATTAATTATTGTTATTCCAATGTCATAGTCTTCTAGACATTCAAATCTGCTCATTATTATCTTAAAAGTAAAAAAAAAAAAGGTTTTTTCAATCTGAAACTTGTGCAAGAAGGAATAAATAAACCTTGAATGTTCATTGGGGAATGGAGAATAGGTGGCCTTGAATGATATATTGAAGGAGTTTATGCTCGTGTGCTATAATATTATTTTTCTTGTAAATATGCTTAATTTTAATTATTTTTTTGATTCGAGAAATTATTAACTTAATGATTTATAAAAAAAATTTATATTAAAATATGCTATTATTGTTATAATCTATCCGAATAGACTTCCGCCAGAATCTCCTCCCTTACATCCTTCTTCTTTTCATCCTTTTGCTTATTTGTGGTTGGAATTGATATCAATCCTTAATAATCTGAATTGATTAGATGGAAACAATTAAAAGTTTAATATTGAGTTTTGTTGAGTTTCAATACTTCTTTTTTTTTAAAAAAAAAAAAGAAAAAAGAAGAAGACAAAACAGATCTATTGATTTTTGAAGATTTAGATTAAATCTAATTATTGGAGATTGTTAGATCGCTATCAGAAAAATGTATATTGAGTTTGAAGTAATTTGGATCAATTTTGAATCAAAATGTAATAGTGAATTTCTATGATGCTTATTATTTAGCCACAAATCCTGACAGATCACACCATAAGTCATTTTGGCAACTATGAGATTGAGAAGCATGCTTCCCATTTCTGGTATGGACACTGCATTTTCCTATGAATTTTCTTGATGACTTCAAAATTTACACGATGACATTGAAGAGATTTTATTTATGCTATTCACATCCTTTTTCTCATATAATATTATTTTAAAATTTCCATTAATTTAAAGTTACACTACAGAAAATCTATCGGAAAAAAAGCGTTCCTTGTAATTTTTTTTATATCAATTTATTTGATACATTTTTCTTTTAAGTTAATATAATAATGAATAACATATTTTTATATTTATTTAATTTTAAAATATATATTTTATCCTGAGATGATTTATAGTCAAACAAATACTTACCATTTACTTAAATCATAGATTTCAAAAACTATAATTTAAATGGAAAAAATATGTACTAATATTTTACTCCCTCTGTCCCATTTTATGTGAGGTGCTTTGACTCGACACAAAGTTTAAGAAATGAATGAAAACTTTTAAAACTTGTGGTCTAAAATGAATAATAAAAATTTGTATGGCTGAAAATCATTTCATTAAGAGGAAAATAAACATTTTATAGTTAAATTGTTTTTTTATATAAAAATATGTCATTTCTTTTTTAGACCGACTAAAAATAAAAATAAAAAATATAAATTGAGACAGAATAATTTTCAAATTCTAAACCACTTAGGGTGTGTTTGGTATGAAGGAAAATATTTTCCGGAAAATGTTTTCCAATTTTCTCATGTTTGGTTGGGTTAAATGTTTTGGAAAATGTTTTCCAAACCAACTCATTTTCCTCAAATTTAAGGAAAATGACTTCCCTTCAAAACTTAAGGAAAACATTTTCCAAACCTCTCTTCCAACTTCAAATTACAATTACTTCAAAATTTCTTTTTTTCACCCTACCCTTGACTCCCCCCACCCG